TCTACAAAAACTTTAACCATTTGGCTGGGTATGGTGGCATGCACTTGTAGTCCCAGCTACTTGGGAAGCTGAAGTGGAGGTATTGCTTGAGCCCAGGAGTTTCAGGTGACAGTGAGCTATGATCACACCACTGCACTCCAGTATAGGTGACAGAACAAGGACCTGTCTCTAAAAAATAAATATAAAAAAAGTTTTAAAAGGAGAGAAGCCCAACCTCAGACGGTCCCATACTCCTGACAAGGCAGCAGCTGTATCCCCGCACCTGCACACATGGCATGGCCTCCCCTGCATTCATCACAGGGCCACACCGCTGCGCTGGTGAGCCGCACCTGGGGCTGGGCCTGAACCCCTCCTGCATGGGCAGTGGCAGAGGAACATGAGTGTGTAATCCTGCTCCTGGGACTAGGTCAGTTATCTGGAAGGACATGGCCTTACTTGTGGCGGAGTAGAGGTGCCCCCACTGGGGCTTTTCCTGGGAAGGATCGCCAAACCCATGAAACCCCTAGGCCTGCTGGGAAGAAGGGAAGAGAGATGATGAGTCACTGAGGCTTGAGGCCCTGAAAAGCTATTTGCTGGGAGCTCTGGAACCAGCTGCCCCCAAATGCAAGCTCAACAACACCTTTCTGCATGGCTGCCCTGAGCTCCTGAGCCAGCTGAACTCTACCTGCCCTTGTGAAGGAGGAGACCTTGGGCAGGTCATCAGGTATCCTCTAGAACCCATGCTCCAAGGGGACAGCGAGTTGCTGTATCCAGTGCTTGGCATGTAGTAGACGATCAGTAAACATTTGTTGAGCGTAGGAGTGAGTGAATGGCTCCAGCCAAAAGGATTAGTGCTGCCCACAGTACTGAAGCACAAGCTCCGGGTGCTCTGTAGGTCCCAGAGCAGGGGGGCTTGAAGCCAAGAGGATGGGGCAGCTTCAGCAAGGGTGCAGAGGGGGCTCTCTAGGCTCTTAGGGGGTCTTTCAGCAAAAGTCATCCTGAAAAAATGTACCTTTCGGTCATCAACTTTGATGGTCTTAACACAAACAATTCAGATTTTCTGCAATCTCACATTTTCTCATCCAGATATTTTTGTAGGGTTTAACCTTACTGTCTTACTATCGCCCACTGACCATAGGAAATTCGCTTTTTGATGGATCTTCGCTCTGTACAGGGCCACATCGTGCTCTAAGCAGTAATCAAGTGTTCTTCTTTCTCCTGGAGGCGTTTGTTGTTTGTGGATCGATCCATCAATAGATGGTACAGGCTTTGGCCAAGATAAGCCCTTGGCCATGGGAGGCCTTGACAGTTTCTAGGACTACAGTTTCTAATCTCCAGCGGTTGAGTTTGCCAGCCCCTCCTGAGGTCCCAGCACCTCCTGGTGGGTGCTTCCAGCCTTCCCTCCCTTCCCAGAGGCAAGAGGACCCCTTACCACCCGAGGACAGAGCCCCACCCTGCCCCCTCTTCCAGATCCTCCACCCAGCCTCTGCCCCTCCCAGGGATCCCACCCAGCTTGCCTCCCAAGCCACCTTTTTCCAGCCTGGACCACCTACAGACTGTGGTGCTCATTGGACTTGGGTGTCACCTTCCCAAGGGACCCCTAAATCTTCCTGGGCCCTGAGCCTGACTGCCCGGGGAAGGGTAAGCAGGAAGCAATGAAACACAGCAGTGGGTTTAAAGCCATAAATGCAGGGCTTTGAGTTAAGCAGAGCCTGATTCAAATCTCGGCTCTGCCACTCAGCTGTGTGGCCTGGGACCAGTGACTCTCTCCGAGCCTCATTTTCCTCGCCTGTACAATGGGGGCAATCTGTCATAGAGCTGCCCTGAGAATTCCAAGAGTGGATCTCATCAGCGGTCTCCGAGAGGGTGGCAGGTGGGAGGAGTTGTTTCAGAATGCTGGGCTTCCCCGACCCCGGCCTGCTCCCCGCCACTCCCAGCCCCCAAACCCCCCAGCTAAGGAGGAATGCTACGGAGTGAAATGGATGGTGGCAGGCACAAGGCAGGTGTCATTAAAGTGCCGCTTTGGCCCAATAGCAAGCAACCCAGAAGAGTGCTTGTCACCTTGAGTTTACTGGGGTTTCCAGGAAGGGGTCCCCTCTTCCCCTGCCTTGCGCCCTAGCCCTAGACCCCTCAGGTCCCACAGGGGCGGGATTCCCTGTGCCGGGCAGGTGAAAGAGGTGGTGACCAGTCCACTCCAGCCACCCCCCCCGCCCCGCCCCGCCCCGCGGCCCCGCCATCATGTGCGCTGGTGAGGGGCCCACCGGGAGGTTCCCAGGCGCGCCGAGGTGGCGTGTCTGTGAGTGCCTATTTGCATATGTGCACCCTGGATATTTATAACTTCTCTTCAGCCAGTTCCAAGTTATTGATGTCTTAAAGTGACTTTAATCTGAGCCTTCTTTTCTCCAAATGGGCTTTTGATTTCCGGAGTGATATTATACATGGCTGTAAGCTATTGACTGAGCGATTGCCGTTCTGTTCTCAATGTGCTGATGCTGAAAATCTGCGATATAAATAAACTTCCTCTGGTAGAATCATTATAAAGCACAAGCAGCAGAAATTTATGGAAAGAACAGATTAAATGCTTAGACTTAAATTCTTCAGTGTGCCGGTTGCCCCAAACTGCTGTGTCTGGAGTTTGGGCTGCTGATTCAGGTGGAAAAAATCAAACGGACACATCGCTTGTCGGTGCATTTTTACTATGATCTATTGTGTTGCCAAAAGAGAAAGCTCAAAAGCTGCCACTGATAATCCTGGTTAAAACTTGGAACATAAATTATTAAGATGTGTAGTTTCTTTTCCGAGTGGTTGGGGACCGGGGCGCGTAGCACAGTAAAGAAATATAACATCAATATGCGCTTATGCGTTGTAATGCGAGACATTTTTATGCCCATAATAAAACATTGCGCCTACAACTACGTTTATGAAAGCAACAGATAGGAAGATCCATAACGCCACTTAATAGAGTTAATCACCTCCCATCGGAACATTTTAAAAGGCTTTTTATTGCATGTTGAAAAGCTCTGACCATAATTAATTCGCTGCACAGTGTCAGGTGCCAATCAGAGGGCGCAAGGCAGCAGAGGGAACTTCCCAGCACACTGGGGCTGGAAGGGTTCTTGGGACTCTGTCCAGGTATTTTGGCGCCAGGATTTTCAGTCGACTTTAGCCTCTGGTTGAACTACATCAAACTCTGGGCTCTGGCTGGGGCATTGGGTTCTAAATTTTAAGCTCTGAGCTGTAGATATAAAAATTCTGAGTTTGTTCCTGTCTCTGGGTTCTGGGCTTTGGACTGGCCTGGGCTGTCAACCCTAGGCCCTGGGTGACTCACCTTGGGTCCCTGGGTGCTGAGCAAGATCACCCCACAGAACATGTCAGGCGACAGGGATAGATGTTTCCTAACAGTCCTAGGTTCGTTTACCATCAGTCTGATGAGTCCGATAGACCATAAAAATCTATCCAGTGGGCCCTCCCTGCACCTCTCCCCTTCCAGCCAGTTTTCCACAAAGGGGAGGGCAGCACTCACTGTGCCCAGCGCTGGCCTGGCCCAGGGCTAACACGTGTGTGAGGGCTGGTCCCTCAAGACAGCAGCCTGCCGTGGGACAGACCCCAGACTCATTGGCAGAGCCCACCACCAACCAGCCAGGAGGCTCCGGAGCCAATCACTCCCCTTCCCCTCCAAGAGATACATTTATCTCCTTTGTCCCTTTTCCCACAACCACAGAGTGACGGGAGCCACAGGGAATCTCCCAAATAGTCCAGAACAGCTGAGGAGGTGGAGGGTCAGCCTGAGATAATTAAAGAATAAAATTGCCCTTTAAAAGTGCACAGAGATCGTGCCCCCCATGGTCTGGGCCTCTCTCACGTGCCTGGGTGCTGACTCTGGGGCAGCTGGCGGCTGAGCTAGAGCCCGCTGGTACACAGACAGAGAACGTTTTGAATGTGAGTGCTCTTTTCTTCCTGAAAAGTTGGGCCAACAAGAATTGAGAGTGAGGACAGTGATGCCAGGCGCTGTCTCCTGATACCACATGGTGGATTTTTCTCCACTAGACTGGAATCCACCTTGTGTTAGGGCTCGAAAGGCCAGGTGGCCACCAGGGGCCCAGGGCTTGGAGGGATGGGTGAGCAACGGGGGCCCGGAGATTTCTGTGCTTGAAAGGTTACTGTCACAGGCCTTTGATGAGACAGAATCATACCTGAACTGACTTCCGGGGTGCAATGGGACTCTAGTCACTTTCCATCATGGCCTGAAGGGATGGACACCCCTCTACCATCTCCCTACCGACAGTACCCCTGCCAAAAGTGAGACCCATGGGTAAATTAATTTACCTTTTTAACTAGGGGACTTTCTTGGTTCGCTTTGTATTGCTATAAAGGAAGACCTAAGTATGGATAATTCATAAAGAAAAGAGATTGATTTGGCTCATGGTTCTGCAGGCTGTACAGGAAGCATGGCACCAGCATCTGCTTCTTTGGAGGCCTCAGGGAGCTTCCACTTGCAGTGGAGAGCAGAGGGGAGAAGGCATCGCAGGGTGGGGGTGGATGGAAGAGAGAGGGAAGGGGCGCCACACTTGTTTAAACAACCAGGCCTAGCATGGACTAATAGGGGGAGAGGCCTCTCATGACTGTGAGAGCTGCACCAAGCTACGCACCAGGGTTCCGCACCCATGACCCAGACACCTCCCACCAGGCCCCACCTCCAACACATTTCAGCATGAGATTTGGAGGGCACAGATATCCAAAGCATATCAAGAAGCTTCTCCAAATATGAGTTGTATACTGGGTCCATGGGAGACACTGTCTATCTTGCCCCCTTGGAGGCGAGTACCATGATGGGGAGAGGCCCACACCTCACCCAAAGTTGTGCATGAAGTCACAAGGACAACTGGAGAGAATGCTGAGGCATAGGTGTGTGGAGGAGACACTGATTCTATGCATCAGTCAACAAAAATGTACTGAGCACCTACCCTGCGCAACAAACCAAACTCCCTGCCCTCACGGGGCTCACATTCCAGCTCCCCAGAGCCTCCCAAATGATTACGGCATCCACATCCCAGATGCAGCACCTGGAGAAATAGCAAGTTGCATGTGTCTTTTCCAAGGCTGCCTAAGACAGGCTGAGCTAGGATCCCCTAAACCAGGGCACGGGTGTCAGGTGGATCTTCAGAGCCACATCCCAACCCCTTGCCAAGCTCCCTCCCCTCCAGGCAGCAACTGGGGACGTGTGTCCAGCTTGGGCTTGGGAAGGACACCCCAGGGTGCGGTGAGCCTGTGGGGAGGGAGCAGTTCCTCTCAGTCTTTCTCGGGGGACATGGCCAAAAGCCAGCAGGTTGCAGAAGTTGCTTATCCTGGAAGCAACAAAGCAAGGGTTATGGAGGCCATGACTGTTCCACAAAGCCCAACAGAAAGGGCTGCAAGTTAGAGCTGGATATGCAGGGAGCATCCATTGAGGAAATGGGCATGGGGTACTCACCTCTTATTGTGACTGAGCAAGTTTCCTTTTGAAGCTCAGTGCCTCCTGCTTTAGGAAAGTGAGCCGGAGGGTGTGGTCAGGCAGACAGCACATGTGGGCACCCAAGATCAAGTGCTCAGCCACAGGCTGGCCCACCCAGACTGGCACAGGGGTAAAGGCAGCCCAGCCCTTGGTGGTCACAGCTGTTCTCCCAGCAGCTCTCAGGCATCTGGACGTTGCCAGCCCCCCCACCCCGGCCCAGCGCTTGGAGTGCTTACTGGGCAGTTGCTCCCAATGCCCCCCTGGCCAGTGGCCTTGAGGGAGCCCTGAGTCCTGAGTGAGTAGGGGAGGGGGCTGTGGTGGGCAGAGCCGGGCCCAGTGAGGTTCCCCGGGGACTCTGGGGTGAGTTTGCTAATAGAGATATCTGTTCAGGGAGGTTTTAATGCCACCTGTCATTAACCCGGGCACTGTGCCCGGGGTTCTCACCAAGAATCTGTAGGTGGCTGCTTGCAGGCGGGTGAGCGATTTGCAAGGACCACAAGAATATTTGCATAAACATATGTATGGAAGTGTGTGTTTATTTGCATTCATTTGCATAAATTGCTGGCTTTTTGAGCTGTTGTTCCTTAATTTTATTTTTTTCAGTAAATTTCTTTGAGCTCTGAGAGCAGATATGGACACTTTGGGAGGGAGAACAAAAAGACAAAAACATACTCTTGAATCAGAAACTCGGGGCGTGAAGCCTAAGCCTCAGTATGTTTTTAAAGCCTCCAGGTGAGCCCAATACACAAGCTGGGAACCAAATCGAGACAGGACAGGCCTATGTCAGGTGTCAGATCAGATCAGCCTCCCTCCACTGGGCAGGTCACCTCACCACACGTCTCTCAAAACTCAAAAGCTATGAGGAGTGTGACGTGCCAGTGACGTGCCAGTGTCGTGCCAGCACGCAGCCATCAGCCAGCAAGTGCTCACCAGGCCCTGCTCAGCGTCACCACCACTGCACGGTGTCACCCTGTGCAGACCCAGCTGCTCCTCCTGGCCTTGCCACCCAGTGGCCCTGGACTTCACCCCAGGGACCCTGAGCTCATGGGTGATCGTGCTCCACCCCAGGGCCTGGGGTCCGTTCTGTCCGAGGCACGTGGTCATTTCTCCTTCGAGGTGACTTCCAGGCTGACAATCCCATCACTGCCCAGATACCTGGGAAATGTGTGCTTGTGATCGTGACACCACCCAGCCCTGCCGGCCTCCCTCTATTCCTCTTTCCAGGCCAGGAGAGGGCCAGGCACTGGGGCTTGCAGACTTCTGCTTTCCCTGGTAGGTGCTGCCTGGGGAAGAAGAACGTTGGATTTCCAGAAATGCCTAAAGCACTGCAGTGCAGTTGCTGCCAGGGTCCTGCCCCTCTCCGTGTTACTTTTTTCTCCTCCTCCCTGCTTGACGTCTTCCTTCCATTGTCCCCCAACCAACTGCCCCAGCTGTAGCGTCCCTGGTCACTCTGTGCTTCCCTACCTCAAGTCTCTGCTTGTGGACGGCCCTTCCTCCATGGCCGATGGCTCACCCTGTCCATTCAAGACCCAGCTCAGCGCCTTCCATCCCACAGCACCTTCTGCAAGCCAGCACCTGTTTCCCTCCATCGCTCATTCAAACCTTACCTGAAACCTGCTTGAGGCCAGAAGCTATACCAGGCACTGGGGTGCAGAGACCAATCAGCTGCAGGCTCTGCTTTTGAGAGCATTCCTGAGAGTGAGCTTTTCACGGTGTTGATCAAGTCCATGCGCGCCCCCGCCCCGGCACCTACCTGTCGGCCCCTGTGGAGCAGGGGCACCACATTGGAGGACGCTGCTCAGAGCAACACTGCAGACCTTGCTAACAGGAGACAGTGAACAGCATACCTTGGCCTGCAGACGTCCCGGAAGGAGGGAAGTGGTTTCAGAAGCCCCAGTGGGGCAGAGGGGAACAGATCGGAGCTGAGGGGGCAGCTTCTGGTGGCAGCTGAGGTGGACAAGCCCATTCCTATCCTGGATCCACCTTTACTGGGATGGGCAGGGTTCTTCCTGGAACCTCAGGGAGCCCCAGAGCTTGCTTTACAGACCCTCCCGATCCCTAGCCAGCCATGCTGGGGAAAGCCTTCTCCCGGCCTGCCCCAGGCCCATCTGCAGCCCCCACTCACCCAGACCCTCAGATGTGCGTGGTCCCCACCACCACCCCAGCAAGACCCCACAGGGCCACCCTCGGTCTCAGTCCCTTCCCTTCACCTCCACCCTCCACCCTCCACCCTCCACCCTCCAGAGGTAGCGCCCACCCCAACAGGGAGCCAGCCTGGGCTTCTGCAGCAGAGTGTGGGACCCTAGAGAGCCCAGAAGCGGCACAGCAGGGGCATCATTATTCACCACCGAGGCTGAGCTGGGCAAGAAGGCCATGGCCCATGGTGGGCAGGGACGGCTCCTGTGTCAGGCTGAGCAGCGCCTTCCTCATCTCTGGGCCTGGCCGGGGGCTGTGGAGTCTAGGAGGACCTGGTCCTGTGCAGACCCAGCAGACCCAGCTGGTGAGGACCTCACGAGGCCAGGCCGCAGCACCTCAGTGCCCCAGGCCAGGAAGGCCTCTCTTCCCTTTCGGCCAGGGCCATTCACTCAGCCATTGGACACCTCTCTGCCCCTGTTGGATGCTTAGTGCTGGGGGTCCCTGTCCTTGAGCCACCCCCAGTCCAGAGAGAAGCAGCAGACCCAGCACAGTGCTGAGCCAAGTGTGGTGGGACCGCAGGGCGGCAGCTGATCTTACCGAATGGGTAGATGTTCTCTGAACGAGGAAGAAGAATTTCCCAGCAGAGGGAGTAGCCTAGCGCCAGCCTCCTCTTCCAGGCCCCCACACAGCCTCCATTGCCCTTCCACACAGGCCCGCCCCGCTGAGTAGATAACTGTATGTGCAGAGAAGGCTCCTCGAGGGCAGAAAGCCAGTCTGCCTCCCGCACAGGGCCCAGCGAACAGCGGGGGCTCCCTGAGTGCTGGGTGCCCCGTGGCCCGTGCTGGACACAGCCTGTGGGGGAGACTGGTCTTTCCTGGCATTTGTGTTCATGTAGAGGATGGTCCCCCACCATGTGGCTGCCCTGCCACCCCTGGTCAGCCTCTGAGCAGTGGCTGATGCCTGGCTCATTTGGAGCTGAGGCCCCCAGAACCCAGGGCTGTAGCCGAGTACACAGGCCTGGCCCCGCTCGTGCAGGACAGCAGCTCTTGGGTAACTGCATCCAATGTTTGTAAACACAGGGCTGTGGTTTTATCATAGAATCTGATAGGTTCTGCCTCCCAAGAAAAACAGACTGACAAGTTAAATACGTGTGGGGAGGGACCCAGGCAGAGAGGGGTGTCAGGAAAGCCAGAAGCTCAGCAGAAATGGTAGGGACATGCGAAAGGTCCCACGCTGGGAGAATTGAGCCAGAAGGCCCCGGAGCACAGGCCATGTGCCCAGTCGGGCCTCTCTTGCCTACATCTGGGGTCTCTGTCATGTCCACCATCACGTGGAGCCCAGTGTGCCAGAGGCTGCCCAGGGCTCTGAGAATATCAGGGGAGGGAAAGGCAGCGGCTCCACCTACCTGAGCGCCCAGGCTGCCTGGAAGACTGGGTTCAGCAGGCACAAATCACACACCCAGGAGGAGGAATTAGGGGGGACCAGGCACAGCCTGGGGGATGGGAGAGGGGGTGTTCGTATAGCCCACCTGTTGGCCCTTTCTGAGACCTCATGAGACCAGGCCCTGGCAGCAATTGCACTGAAGTGCTTTAGGCGTTTGCAGAAATCCAGCGTTCTTCCCCGGGCAGCACCTACCAGGGAAGAGCCTGCAAGCCCCAGTGCCTGGCCCTCTCCTGGCCTGGAAAGAGGAACAGAGGGAGGACGTGGACTCGCCAACTGGTGTGATGGGCAGGGGCGTGTGCTGGGCACCGTGCCTGCTACACGGGGGCACTCCTGGCAGGAGAAGGGGCTGGCTCCCCGCCGTCACATGGCCTCCCCCAACCCCCAGGGCCTTCTAAGGCAGACCTGACCCCCTGACTCTGTGCCAGGGCCTGCGGCAGGGGCTCATCACCTGGAGGGCACAGCTCCACTTACTTCTTTCATGCCTATTACAATTTCCTAATACTATAACGATGTGGAGGTTACTTGTATAATCTTAAAAGGTCGTTAGATATATGGGAAACTAGAAAAGAGTCTTGGGCTTTTACCTGCCCTGAAATGGCAGGAGGCAGGCGTATTGCCCTAAACTGACCTGGGCCAGGATGGGCAGGAGGGGTGGGCACAGTCAGAGAACCAGGGGCAGATGCTCCTGGAAGACCATGAAGGGCACAGGGTGGGCAGAGAGGGGTCTCTGCGCGCACACACACTCACACACACACACTCTCTCTTCCTCTCCCTCTCTCTCTCTCTCCGCCCCCCGCCCAACCCCACATCCTCCCAGCTGTGACTCCTCCCTGGATGGGATTCGCTGTGTTCTGAGCTGTCATTAGCTCCTGGCATCTGGGGTTTCCATTTCATTTCCCTCTTTACCTGGGTAACTAAACTGATTGTACTCCTGGCTCTGGTTCACTAATTCTTGCAAATCCTTTAAAACTATTGATTTATTTGCTAGGACTGTGGCTCTCAGAATTCTTGGGAAATAATGGCTTTTACTGAAGCAGGAGGGGGAGACCTGTGTTTTTCCCACTCCTTGTGGCTCTCTCCTGCCTGTCCCCATCCCCAGTTTCCCCGCATCTCTTTCCACTCCTTCTCTGAGCCTGTCACCTGGCGCAGGCGCTGACTTTCCCAAAGCCCCAGATCTTGGAAAGACTAGGTCTCCAGGAAGAACATAATGAAGCGAGGTTTCGTGGAACACAGCACATGAGAATTTAGGCTCTGGGTTTGTGTCTGTGGCTGTCGGGCTCCTCATCCGTATGGAAGAATACCGTGTCCTCTTCCAGGTCCCTGTGGCTCTTCTATTTCCAAAGCACACCACCCTTGTGGGTCCGTAGCTTTGGATACAGAAGCCCTGGGCTGCTGTCTCGGCCACTTCAAGCCAGCCCCTCCCCACACCCAGCAGCAGTTGTTCACCCAATTCCCCAGGACCCCAGTAGAGGCCAGTCAGCCAGGGCCTCTGAATGGAAAGAGAGTAGGAGATGGTCTCATGGTAGGTGCAGAGCCAGCCACTCCTGGAACCAGGGCCTGCTGGCTTGGAATGGAGGGCAACAGGCCCCCAGGGGAGACTGCGCCCATGTAGGACCCCAGGGGAACTGTCTCTGTGATGGGTCCAGCTGCACTGCCTCCATTCCTGCCCCAATTCCCAGCCTCGTTCCCCAGCCTCCAATAAATACCTTTCTGCTTCACTGTCAGAGCTGGGTACTGTGGCTGGCATCCCAGGCCCTGACTGGAACAGACACATGGATATGTCAGGCCTATAATAAATGCCACTATGGCAGAGCCTGCCCGGGCCCTGGGGGAGCATAGCTTTGCACGTTCACCACAGCCACCATGGTCGCCACTGTCTTTGCACCCCTTCCTCGAACTTCAAAGTGCAGGGTCAGAGCACCCACCCAGCGGAGCCCAGGCCTCCTGGCCCCATGCCAGCTACCAAGGAGCTACCTCCCCCTGGCTCCCGCAGTGACAGGGGCCCAGATCCCCCCACCTTGGGATTCTCCCCAGTAGGAAGGGGTTCCAATGCTGAGCAGCCAAACTCACCTCTGTCCGCTCCAGTGGCTACTTCCCCACCAGACTGTGAGCTCCTTGGCACAGACAGTGGCTTCCTCTTCATGGCCCAGGCCTGGCATGAAGGAGGCCTGTAAATGTGCACTGAAGTGCTGAGCTAGTCAATTCAAAGTGACACACCCACCTCCTATGTGTCTGGTTCTCCACCGGAGACAACCAGCAGTCACCCCACAGCCCTGCGCTTCCTGGCCCCTCTTCTGGCCCCCGGCCCTGGCCACCCACCCCTCCTTCCTCAGAAGGCCTCTAGCACCACAGCTGACCGTCCCTGCAGCTCCCTCGTCTGGCTCCTCGCTGTGGGTTCCTGTGTCCACACTGAGCTGCATGCTCTTCCCGGATGGGA